ATGATTTGGTACCGTATATACATTTTTGATTCATGCAGACAGTTTAGAACACGTTATTATGTAGGTTGTGGTCCATATTTACAAAATACAAAATTCAATTTCGATTAAATAAGAACTGATCCCAAAAAATATACAAATGTTGATAAATATTATGTTCTAAAATACAATACGTAAAATATTCTTCAAAGTGTTATACAAATAATCCAAAATATGCAAAAATATAATAGTACTATAAACCAAAATGTCATCTAAAACTATCGGACTACTCAGTATGTCGGATAATGAGTCAGCCTGCGATTCTCCCGACATTCCTCCGCTGTCGTCTGTAACACAGAGCCTCCCCAGCCTCCGGCATTATGACATCCAGAACACCTCTAACATTGGATCCATCAGGAAACAGATCCCTATCAATACCATCTCGTGCAATCTCCATGATAAGACGGCACCTAGGCAAAACGCCACTGACCTGATCAACCTGTGACTGCTCCTCCTCTAGGATCTCTGCATGTGCTGGTCTAGGTGGGTTTCCTGGAGCCTCTTGTACCAGATATGAATGTGATACCCTGAAGAACCATAAGATATATCCATCCTCATAGCTCCAATCTTTTGGAGCTATGGTACTCTGGGCCTAATCTGTCACGAGATGGTTAAGATAATCATCAAATATCTCATTCATATCCCTGTTTCACCATGGGAGGAGTACACTCAGATGGGTGTTTGGGAATGTGTTGCATGTATCCTAATTTCCACATCACGTGCTCAAGAAAATAAGCAGTCGTCTTTCGCGACCCGCATGCCAACCACCCAGTGAATAACACAATGTCATCAAAGGGAACCGTCTCACGGTGAGCCTCGTATGCATAAAAGCATATATCCTCATAGGTCAGGCGGTCTATATACACCCTGAATGGCTTTATCGCCTGGTTCCCACGTAGGGGATCAAATGAAGCGGCACGTGACATGACCTCAATATATGTAGGTTCAAATGACCATCGGATATGTGAGGGAAGTGTTGTAGGATCCAGGTCTGAAATGTTACCGTCTTTAGTAAGTAACGACATCAAAGTAATTTACATAACAAGACAAAACTAAAATAAGAATAAAAAATGTTGCCGTAAAAAGTGTGGTGTTGCCGATCATGCCCTTTGTATTCCACTTAGCACCTTCGGGATGCTTATGGTACAAATAAACCAAATAAGTTGTCCCCCGGTTCCACTCAGTGATCCGCTAAAAATCGCTAAATAATCACAAGTACGTGATATCAGTGTAAGTGGCACTAGTGTCCACAAAAATTTGTGTGCCAACCAAATACAAAAGATATGCCCTCATAGCACATCCTTTGTGTTGGGCTACCTGCAACTCGTTACCATGCGCCTGGTGTGCACGCCTTAGCTCAACTGTGAACACCCTCTGCAAGTAGCTAAATCTGACATCACACCCACGGGTTTTGTCGATCTCAGCCATATCACCCTCTGGAGTAACTCCCAAGTACTCCACCAACATATTCAGCGCCTCCTTCTTGGTGCACCTCTCATGATCTAAAAACCTCCCTCTAATCGGAAGGTGCAACAAACACGCGACATCGTCCAGCGTGATTGTCATCTCACCACGTGGTAGGTGGAACGATGATGTCTCATGATGCCATCTCTCAACAAACGCGTTAATCATACTATGATTAACGATAGTATATCCACATAAGATCAAATCACGCAGGCCAGTGAGGTGCAACATCTCTTGGAACCAAGGCTCGACAGGTGGTACCAGACGACTGATCTTCCTAGCATGATTAATTATCTTAAGTGTATTGTGGTCCTGCATGCATAGATAAACACACAATACTTACATGAACAAAATATTTAGAAAAAAGAAGGTAACACAATACGTAACAATTGTTAAATGAAACATTTACCTCTTCTTCCCATAAGTGTCTGGCAACATGGTCCGAATACAACGGCAGTAAGGAAAAATCAGAAGGTCCTCCTCCAAAGGCTTGTGGCGCCTCTGCTACTGCCTGTGCATGAGCCGTCGGTGCTGCCTGTAGATGGGCCTTTGGTGCTGCCTCTGGATGGTCCGCCAGTGCAGACTGGGTGGCCTTTGGTGTCTGCTGGGTGGGAGTGGCCTCCGGTGTAGGCTGAGATGAAGAAGACTCTCCTGTCTCAAAGACCAAGGGAGGTGGAGAGGTATGGACTGAATGTGGTGTAGTCTGTGAGTGGGATCCGACTGTCTCTCTTGGTCTGGATACCTGCGGTGAAGATGTACGTCTACGGCAGGACAGAGGCGAAGATGGATGGACAGAAGACTCTCGTCTGTTGGTCGACAGAGTGGAAGTATCCGACACAGTCGGCCTAGGAGCCTGAAAAGACTGAGTCATTTCCCTACGCATCGAAGCATGTTGTGAAAGTCTTCTGTGTCGTAATCTGGATTGTCTCTCAGTCATAATACTTGTAGAATAAACGAATAAAATATTATACAATCACCCTTGTACAAAGAATAGTGAAAAACGGTCTGCTGCATAACCGAAAGTATACTTCCGATTTTAGTCAAGAACAAAATCGAAGATACACTTCCGGTATGACCTGCAACTTAACAGATTCGTCAATGGCGAAGCTGTTAGCCAATGGGGACAAAAAAAAAACATTGATCGTCAAAATGACATGGCTAACACTTCCATATTGACTTCAAACATTGCAAGAACTAAAAAAAACTACATTTTACTACCCTAAAACACAATTGTATGTAAAATCAGAATAACTCAATAATGCTCAAAAACAACTTACAATGATTGATTCTCCTTGGTTAATACAGATAATGCTTGATGATTTCCTTATTTGTTGAGATAAATTGTTGGATTTTGAAACAATAAGGGTTAGGATTTTGTGTTTCTATGTTTTTGGTTTTGCTGCAAATGAGGAAGGGGAAGAGGTGGCGCGGGTATAAATCAAATTATAAATCAGAAATACACTAACGATTGAGAACCATAAGTGTACTTCCGGCTCGTTTCAACGTGATAGAGTGTGGCTTCTCAATGTTTTTTTTAGATTCATTTGGAGTGTAACTAGAAGTACAATATCGGTTTGAGAACCGTAAGTATACTTTCGGTTTGTATGTTGTTTTCATATAATTGAGTGCGCACCAGAGATACATTTCCAGTTCCTAAAGGCATATTTGAAATTTCAAGCTGATGCCTAAAAACACAATAGGGTGCATTAAGAAATTCTCAAACTTGAATAATTGAAAGGAAGGCTCAAATTGAATTCCAGGCCTTTGATTTTCTACTCAATACTTTGGAAAAACCTTTTTCAATCTGTCCCTTAAAATGCGATTTCTAACCAGAAACTCATTTCTGGTAGTTTGTTTAATCTGAAAATACACTATGTGAAGATTCAATTTTAACAGGATACTGTCTTTTGTTTGAGCACAAACATGGATGAGACCGATACAACTAAAGACACCAAAATAAACATGTCCCAAATGATCGACGAAAAAAAGATAACAAGACCATGTGGTGCAGATAACATACTGTATTTGGACTTGAACTAGTAAAACTTTCCAAAGCAAAAAAAATGTATATCCTGGCATCGAATCCAAACTCATAATTAGGGTGCCATCATTTGTAGTTTTTTAGACAAAAGAGCAGTGTTCCTCTTTATTTCTGAGAATTTTCATTCTACTCTTGGTAGATTCTTACACCTGCTCTCTTGAATGGGATTAATGTTTTATATTGTAGCTGTGACTTTCTAACCAGTGAGGAGGTTTAAGTTTAATTTGCATCACTAGTTTATAGATCAAAGGAACCTTTCCTAGACTAAAATTGAATGGAAATGGTTTAGGGTTCCTAATAGTAGTATATACTATAATATACATGCATACATTATACAGACAGTGGTGTAGCCTGTTTGTGCATGAATCAAATCTTAGAATTGCAGTTCTTTTTTTTTTTTTTTTTTAAACCGTTACCTCGTTACCAAAACAACAAAATATCTATCACAAGATTCGAACTTGGCTACACGAATTGTATTCAAAAGGAATGATACCAAAGCGCCACAACTAATATTTACAGTAACGGCACAAACTTATTATATATAGTTGGATATTATAATTTATAAATTAAAAAGAAAAAAATCAGTCAAACTCTGTCACCCCACTGGTGAGATGGAATAAAAAGAGAAAATAAGTTACAATTTTTCCTCTTAAGACTCAATCAACAATGTGGCTGAAAAGACGGCAAGAAGAACTCTAATAAGAAAAACCATTTATGAGAAATCTTTGGAAACTAATACAATCAAGTCAATGACCATAGGAAAATCAAGAGGGCATCATGATCTTTGATATTAGTGTTAACTGAATCATGTTTCAGGTTCAGGGAATGCTGCATGGCATGGCCTCTGCTAGGTTTTCTACTTTTGCTTATCAGACATTCTTTTCGGGAGGTATGAAACGACAAAACTAAAAACAAGTATGATAACATTTTCTATTCAATTAAACTTCACTCGCTAACCGGGTATCCAATCGCACATCAAACCCAGACTCATCAAAATATCAAAAATCAATGACTATTGAAATATGGAAAACATTAGATACAATTGGCAAAACTTCAAGAAAATATACTAGAACATTGTATATCAGTCTACCACACCAAATATCATCCCACAAACAAATATACCAACCATTTCAAGTTGAACAACACATACAGAACATGCAATGCATTGAACCCAACACCATATAGACAACATATGAAAACACTATTTTTTTCTTCTCTGAACTAACATGCTAAAAAGATTACATAACTTTATGAATCTATATGCTCAGAAATAGTTTTATTTTCAATGTATCCAAGCAGTAGTTCATAGGATTAATTACTAATAAACTTTGTTTGAGCATCCACAACAACAAAGTCGCATCCAATTTAACAAAAACACAAAAACAATTGCATAATCCAAAACATTGGGTTTTTTTTCTTACACAAGTGAAAGTGACTAAATCAAAAGAGTGCTAAATATTTACTTTTTCTTCTTGCCAGCAACAGTAACCTTCTTACCCTTCAATGTCCTGCAATTGTTCTTCGTTCGCTGTCCTCTACAAGGAAGCCCCCGAATATGCCTTATTCCTCTATAACACTGAATCTCCTTCAACCTCTTAATGTTAAGCGCATTGAACCGTTTCTGAATTCACAAGTCAATCAAACCATTACAATTACAATCACAAAACATAATAACAGAAAACCAAAAAGGAACAAAAGAATTGGAGTTACCAAATCTCCTTCAATCATGTATTTGGAAACTTCACGCCTAAGAATAATAAGCTCTTCCTCACTCAATTCCTTTGTAACTTTGTTATCCATTTTGATATCAGTTAGAATCTGTCTCGATCGGCTCCTTCCAACTCCATGAATGTACTGCAACGAGAATTCAATTCGTTTGTTGTTTGGAATTTCAACACCGCCGACACGAACGCACTGGATGCTTAATCGTTGAACCTACAATTGCTTCAGAATCAGAAACGTTGTTTTTGATTGTTCATATGTGGAAATTTGAAACCCTAGTTTTGTTACCTTTGGCTTGGGAGTGTTGAGGATAGGGAGAGAAAGTCTGTTGGAGAAGTGGCCATTGGAGATGATTGAGAGAGAAGGTGCCACAGGCATTGCAAGCGTTTGTACCATTCTTGTTCTTCTCTTCTCTATCCTCTAACTGTTTCTGTGAAAAATGAAGTGTACCCCATAGCCATATCCTTATCGTTATCCCATTTCAGATAGAGTGTTTGAATCAAAAGCCCGTTAGCACGCTTTTAATTTGGGCTCTTGTATCTAAGCCCATTTCATTTCCCAAGAGAAATTCATTTTCCACCTTATAGTGAAAAAAAGTTATACGCAATTCCTAAAATACTTTTTAGAAATCGAAAATATATTTTTATGATGCGCACCATACACCACATACACAAATAGATTAAATGTGGTTCTACTCTATTCAAAAGACAAAAATAGGACTGGAATTATAGTTTCGGTTGTAACCTGTATTGTATTTCCGGTTTGTATAAAGAGAAGATTGAATTTTCTGTCACCTTGTGGACGAATCATTACACAATCTCTAACACATGTGGATTTGGCCGACGACAATTATTTTGGATCATTTAAGTAATTAGGTATCATTTTATTGTATACTAGTAAAAAACTCGTGTTATCGCACGGGTCCCGTCTGGAATCACATTACCCGTCTACCAAATCATCATTTGTAGAGTTTGAATTTATTCTTCAATTGGTTAACATTTATATAGTTATAAATATAGGCTAATAATATATACCAATTTTTAATCATTGATTCGTACTTATAATAAACCGTGCATCCAATTTAAAAGATGGACATTAAAATAAACAATGTAAAGCTGATATCTCATAGATATGTTCATGTCTACCAGTGGATCTATGCATGCAAAGACCTTCACTAAGATGGATAATCTAAATAAAAAACTATTAGATTAATATACTTGACTAATAAAGTATTAAGTCTTATATTTAAGTCTTTAATGTTAAAAGGAGTCTACAATTTAGTTAAAAGTGAATTTTAAGGAAATTAATATGAAACAGCAAATATAAATTAAATATAAATATTTAATATAATTTATTAAAATCAATTGAGTAATTTAATATTATTGTGGTGAGTTCAAAAAAGCTTTTATAATTTATAAACAATGTTTTATACTCATTCTTTGTTGTATAATGGTTAATAGCTCGTTGAATAATTTTTTATCTTTTTAAGAACTTCTAATGTAAGGCTTTGTGGTATCACCCTTTTCAAAAGTTGAAGAACCTAAACTTTTCTTGGTCTTGAAACATAAAATTGCTATTATATTACTTATTCACATTTTTGTTTTACGGTTGTTTATAGGAAAGAAATGAATAAGATTATAAGTGATTGCATTAGACAATTGTAGTGGCACCTATTGAGCAAGAGGTTGTAGAATGACATCTATAAGCTAGTTTGGTCAAGTGAGCAAAAGTAGAATGACATCTATAAGCTAGTTTGGTCAAGTGAGCAAAAAAAATGATAATAAGAATTAATCAAAAGAAACATAGACTGCACTATCAGATGTAGAAGGCGAATAAGAAAAATAGCTAAATCATTAAAAATAAATTGGATCTAAATGGCAGCTTAGATGCTCCCATCTAAGAGTCTGTGTTATTGATACAACATATTAGTGACATTTAATCTTAATGTAGAGCATAGAAATGACTCTTTTTGCAGTAGGGAAAAATGAAGTATATGTGACCATATGAAATACGTGAATTATATCACAAATTTTTTCTAAAAGATAATAAGTGAATACTCAACATATGACTATCATGCAATCTAATTCAATCCTAACCACCTTACTTTTCTCAAAATCTGTAAAATGCACAATAGAAAAACTGCATCACAGAATTTCCAACAGAAAAAAGATGATGAATTTCTTGTATGTACAAAATAATTACACTTTGATCTGAAACAATTTTGGCTATACCGCTTTTTCTTGTGAGCTATAGTATTCTGTGAAGCAAAGAAAAATATTTAATGAGCATGATAAATTGATAACTAATCATCATTCTTTTCAAACAACATTGCTATTTAAAAGACTAACCAATAAGGTTTGAAACATCACAATTTTAATCACCTTAGCAAGTGTTTGTTTTCGAGGATGATCAGCAACCTGATTCTGCAGCAAGTTCTAAAAAATATGACAACAACCAACAAAGAAATTGGGTAATCATTACAAGTGATAATCATTACAATCGGGTAATAATTAAACTAACATGAAAACATCTCGACATTTAATTCAACTTATAATTATTATATTAGAAACAGAATATAAAACCTATGATGAAAGGAAATGCACATATATGTTAGTTATCCTATGACCATGAATACATTTAGGAAGATGGACATCTACCAGTTACCATGTGATCTATAAGTTCTTGTGTTTTAGCAGCTAATGACATCAACTCTTCAATGTTATCAATCATACACCTACATGATTGAAATGAGAATGAGGAATCTCTAGTAGTTGTAAAAATAAAATGCATATAGATTGAAATGAAAAATTGAAAATTAGTCTTGCATGATAAAAGATTGAATTACTTATCATTGACATATTTTATTTTCTGTAATTTTTCAATAACATTAAGTTATGCATCAAGCCTCCCCAAACGAAAGTAACAGTTAGATATAAATGACCATCTCAACATTTGTACACTTAAGTAACTACATGCATGGAATTGTTCGCACTGTTTAGTGTACTGAACAATCAAATCAAGATAAACAACAAAGGAATATTGTTGAATTATACGCACTATCACTACAGATTGATTGATTAAAAATAGGATCAAAAGTTGTTTGGATCAAATAACTTCATTTGTTGATGTTCTCAACTGGTTTCACAACATTTAATTCTTCAACTGGTTTCAAAAGTTGCTAATTCTTTAACTGGTTTCACAAAACTCATACCTAAATTATTGAAACTATGGGTATTGATATTCTCATTGCAAGATAAACATGTCTTCTGAATTTTTCTATTGTCGTCTCTGATTGCTTGGCCCTAAAGAAGAACACCAACATGCATACCTCCTTCGATTATAGACATCATGTCCTCCATAACTGTCCTCTACAAAAAGTTGTAACAATACTAAGCATTGAATATATCTATTAATCATTAGCTTTAAAAGAAAAAACTACTGCAAAACATTACAAAACATTACAAACTGTCACATATGTTAGACCACATGAAATCACAAAATTAGTGCTAGTTCGAAATTCAGAAGAAAACAACCAATCAGTATAATGCTTGATCTCAACTGTTAATTTGAAATCAGACGGTTGATATTGAAATCTACATGATGCAGATAATGCACCAAATCCAAATCTAAACGCTAATATATGTGACATTAAATCTAATATAGACATATTCTGGTTTAGGAAGCCTTGCCTGAGTGTAGTCTTATAAATTTCCATCTTTGTCTATATCTTAGAATCAAATTTGGAAGTATATTGATCCAAGAATACCTACAGCTCCTGCACCTTAGAAAAAGGAAATTGATTCAGCTAACATTAAATTAATCTTCATTTATGCTAATCTACCATAACAAAACATTTGTAAAAGTGTTTGGATGCCATATAAATAACTTATGGGATGTCCTTGTAGCACAAAAGTAAATTAGTCGCATATAAAAATTGAAACCAAATTCATTCCCAATTAAAACACTAAAATTGCAATAGACAATCTCAGATTAATTTCACTTCTAAAGTAACAAACACAAAATTTCAAGAATTTCAAGTTTAGAAACAGAAGCATATGGTATCAACTACAACAGCAAAACTTTTGCACACAGATCAACAAACAAAATTAACAAATAGAAAAATCTTAAAGCAAACTAAATCCATAAATTGAAGTGAGGCGGAATTCACAAATGGCATGTTATTGTACATAAAAGTGAAATTTTAACTCAAACGAAATAACATATTACTAAAACCCTCGATATATATTGTACATGCAATTTATCCTTGATATCAAAGTCAGAAGAGAGAAGAAGGGAGTCAGAATAGAGGTAGAGGAAGAACAGAGGCAGAAGAGGAAGAGACGTAGATGAACTGCGTTTTGCATCGTCGATGGTGGCGGAAGACATAGTGGTGGAGGAAAGGAGGAGAAAATTGTATTTGGAATTGAAGTGAGAGACTGATGTGATGTGAAGAAGAGTTGTTGTGAAATAATTTGATGCCATGGAAGGGTTTATATGTTTGAATAAGGGTTTAGAAACTTGAAAAGCCATGAATTAATTGTACAGTATCAGAAGTTGGAATTCTTTGTATATTCAAAGTGGGCTATTAATTTTTTATTGTTGTGTAGAGTGTATATTGAAATAATTGGAATATGCACGCTCAATGAAACGAATCAGTTCTAATAACCAATAATTATGGACAGATTTTTTAAGGTTAATTAGTGATTAGTGATTAAAAAAATAAAAAATGTTGTGAAAATGTATTGTGTTGATACATCAGCACCATTAAATATTACAATAATGTGGTGATAGGAGTAGTTCAAAAAGCCTAATTTGCCCTTAGTGGTTATTTTTAATGTTAATTTTAATTAGAGGGCATTGAGTGGATTTCCAGGTACTTTGAAGTTTATATATTTATATTAGATGTCATTTTGTCAATGTATTATGCTGTGGAATATAATTATTTTGTAGTTTGACCAAAATTATCATCTTTCAATACACGAGGTTTTGTTTTTGTTTCTATGTATGCTTTTGTTTTTGTTTCTGTTCTGGTTTTTAGTCCCATGAGACTTACCGAAAATATATTTCCGATACATATTTAGGTGAAACCGAAAATAAAATTCCAATTTACACTCTGTCACAAGATAGGATTTGTAAGGTCCATGTTTGCCTTCAACTACTATAAATAAGCTACCTGGGTACAAACCCGAAATTAAATTCCGGTTTCAGCCTACATTTTATCAAATCTTGGTGCGTCTCGGAAATATATTTCCGATTTCTAGGGACATTTTTGTAACTTTGCATGGTGTTCTAGAAAACTATAGGATGGAAAAAGAAATCCCCTTTCCCAAAGCATTTTGCCTCTCATACCCATTATATTATATGTAGATCCATAATAATTGTTTTTGGAACATTTT